GTACGGCACCCTTATAAAAATATAAAAAGGATTCTAAAAGGGACCCTAATTTAGAGAACTCCCCATGTCCTTTCTTGGGTCCCTAAACCCTAAACCCTAAACCCTAAACCCTAAACCCTATCCAAAATGCTCCAAGCCCAGGCGCCAGGCCGTTCCTTTCCCGAGATCGCTAGCAGAGAGGTTGCTGCCCACGGTCTGCTCCGGGGTGGTGAGGAGCCTTTCTTTCAAGAGGCCTTGGGATTTGGGGTTTAGGATTCACGCTTAGCGTTTAGGGTTTAGGGTTTTAGGATTCAGGATTTAAAAGGTTTAGGCTTTAGGAAGTGAATAAGTGTACCATCTAAGGCTTTGTGGTTCAGGAGCCCGGTACCCTTTCGTTTGAGCCAGCCTGCAGCTTCTTCTCTGGGGTCTTTTCCTTAGATGGCCTTGGGGATTGGGCCTTGGGATTTCTGTGGGGGGACGAGCCTTGGGTCTCTTAAAGAGAAGCCCCCGGAGGTTTGTCGAAGGAGCCCGGGGATTTGTTTTCAAGTCCTTGAGAACCGTGTTTTCTATGTAGCATAGAACAGTAAGTGTAGGGGTTCTTTGGATGTGCGGCGCTGGGGGGCGCCTTGAGGTTTAGGGCTTTGGGGTTTCAGGTCTTGTTCGTGCGCATTAGGCGGCTCGAAAGTTCCGAGAAGAGGGGGCTTACCTCTGCAAAGATACTCCCGGGCGTCATAATTCGAAAGCGCATCCGGAATTGCACAGGTGTTCTGAACTTGGCTTCGGGTTTGAGAGGGCTTCCTAGAGCCTCCAAGGGTTGCGAAAGGTATTCCAGAGTCTCCGATCACGGCTCACACACCCCGCAAAAATACCCTGCATAACCCCTACTTCAAAGTTCATGGGTAGCTGGCTGAAAAGGGTTACAAAGTCAGTTACACATGTCAACTGTCGCTACCGTGCGCCTAACCCAACTCCCCAAATCCTGCAGACCGACCCTACAATATGACCCCTGAGCCCCTAAACCCCTAAACCCCTAAACCCTAAACCATGAACCCCAAAACCCTAAACCCTAAACCCTAAACCGTGAGCCCCGGCAAGACCTTGTAAGACCCGGTGAAGATCTGGAAGAAACCCTACAGAACCCTACAACAACCCCATGAAAACTTCAGGGTTTAGGGTTTAGGGTTTAGGGTAATACGGCCACAAACACCCTAAGACCGCAAACCCTGAACCCTAAGCCCTCAACCCTCAACCCCAAACCCTGGACCCTTTGCCCTAAACCCTAAAACCTAGACCCCTGAACCCGAAACCCTACACCCCAAACCCTAGACCCTAAACCCCACACCCCAAACCCTGAACCCTAAACCCCACCAAGGCACCGCTGCATGGCGGCCACCGTCTCGCAGAGGGATGCGGCCCCCGGGAGAAGCTCCTCACTCTCCGAGAAGTACCTGATAGTAGAGATGTAGGGTTTCGGGGTTTAGGGGTTTAGGGTGTAGGGTTTCGGGGTTTAGGGTTTAGGGTTTCGGCTTAAAGGTTTAGGGTTTAGGAGTTTAGGAATTTAAAGGTTTGGGGGTGGGTTCGGGTTCAGGTCTTTCGGCCTGAAGCCAGGGATTTAAGCCAGGATCCTGCTCTTTACGTTTCTACGTTGGGGCGAAGAGTCTAAAGTTTGTGACTTTACCAGGGTTCAGGGTTTAGGGTTGAGGACTCCCTCATATCTACCAGGGGGTTTCGAGGGCTGCTATGTAGGGTTCTACATTTAAGGTATGTACCCACACCTTTCGGATTGCGAGGGTTTGGGATTTAAGGAATTTAGGGATGAGGCCTCTCTGGCATGTGCAACTACATGAATGAAAGAGTCGAAAGGATTCTTTAGGGTTCTACAGAGTTCCATCGGGTTGTGTAGCTTTCGGGTTTGGCGTTTCAGGGTTTGGGGTGTTAGGAGTAGGCCTTGCTGTGCTCGAGTATGTGAAATGGCCTTCAGTGTTTCGGACTTCTGGGTTCCCAGAGACTCCAGTATCCCTTAGTTAAGGAATATACCTTAAATCACATTAGGCATCCCTAATATGATTTAAGGTATATTCCTTAATTAAGGGATATTGGAGTCTCTGGGTTGTAGCTTAGGATTTAGGAGGTCAGGCCTTGCTGCTTGAAGGACCCTTTTCGTTCCACAGGCTCAGGATATGAGGATCTGGGGTATAAGCGTGAAGGGTTTGGTTAGCTTTGGGTACATTTCCCTAAGGGTCCATGTGCTCGTACAGTATATACATTGGCCTTAATGTAGTCCCTATATAGGTACTTTAAGGCCCACGTATATGCTATATGAGTACATGGACCCTCAGGGTTTACGATCAGACACGAGCTTTGAGGCAACAGGGCTTCCGGAGGACGAAAGGGTTTTGGGCTCGACTCGGCCGTAGGTTTAGGGTTTAGGGTTTAGGGTTCATTGTGGCTGAAGGGCTTGAGGGGCCCGAACACCCCAAAGCCACCTTAGTCCTTTGAGTTCAAGGCTTAGGATACGGAATTCTGCAGATTCGAAGCGCTCCGTTTGGGTGTAGAGCCCACAGAGAAGCCTCATGAGGCTCGAAGCTGAGCCATGGAAAACGCTGCACCTTAAATAAACCCCAAAAGCCCCGAACCGCACACAGAGACCTTAAGCCCTAAACCCTAAACCCTAAACCCTAAACCCTAAAGCCCAAACCCTAATCCGCAAAAGCCCAAACCCTAAACCCCAAAAGCCCCAACCCTAAACCCCAGAAGCCCTCAACGAAAAAAAAAAAAACGGTATAAAAGGGCTCGGCCACAACGACTCCAACATCTCCGCGAGCTCGGCTGGCCGCGTGCTATTTGGCGCCTCCAGACTTGGGGGTTTGGGATTTTAGGGTTTTAGGGTTTAGGGTTTAGGGTTTAGGGTTTAGGGTTTAGGGTTTAGGGTTTGGGGTTTAGGGTTTAGGGTTTGGGGTCTAGGGGTCTAGGGGTTTAGGGTTTGGGGTTTAGGGTTTAGGGTTTGTGGGTTTGGGGGTTTAGGGTTTAGGGCTTTAGGGTTTTTCGGTTTAGGGTTTGCGTGGAATATGATAAATGGTAG